GACGTTCACACGCCTGAGCTTATTACTGCGGCAATCAATTGGGAGGGTGGTGTGGCTGTTCTGTGAGGCTTAAATCGGCTGCATAGCACCAATGAAAATGTTCCTTATCAACTGACGCTATATTTTCGTTGCCGATGGGCAGAGTGCGCATCGGTTTTGCTGTCAGTTCTATGGAAATATTAATATTTTGCAATCTTCTATTATCGCCTTCCCAACCACCAAAGATTTAAAAATGACGAAAATTGAAAACTCTAACGAGACATAGGTAAAGTCTCCCTGCTAAAAATGTAGATGATTCAAAAGACCAGTTTTCGTGCATACGTGTGACTTCGATTAATTATTTATGATCCAGTTGTAGAACAGCAAGGTGACTCTGTTCGTTTATGTTTGTCATATTAACTTTTTTCTGATTTGCTTTTGCTTGTTCTTATCACCGGAATAATGGCCATGGGGATGACAATGTACATATCAAATAAGATATGCAATGACAAAATCGATCGTAAAAGTATCAGGAAGGTAAATAAATGTTTTTTTCGCTCTGTCTGATACTATTAGCACACCGATGTTTTTGTTTGGAATCCAATGGACCGTCCATCTACTGAAGCCTTCCTTTATCCTGTGCTTTAGTTGTTATATAGATAAAATGATTTAGTACAAGATGTGCGGTGCTTTGATAAAAGTGAGGCTGTTTACATCAACTTTAGCTTTAGAGAAGAAGTCATTTGGAAACATCTTAGTAGCAAGGCCTTGCCAGCAAGGGGGGCGTGGGAAGGCGGGGAAATACGGGGAAATTCGGGGATGAAGAATTTTGTTTGACGAACTTTATTTACAGCACGCATTTTTCGAAATCTACTTTTCTATAAATAAATTACTGATAACCTTGTCCTCTGGCAAAACAATCAATTTGGGGGCCCTCTCACTGCGAAAACAATTTTTCTCGATGGGAGGACGGGTTAAAATCCACGTCCTCAACCCCGTCGATTTCGGCGAGGCTGTGGACGGGTCTTTTAACTCGTCCCCTCGCCACCGGAAAAATGTTTTCGCAGTGGGGCGCCCTCTTCTTCTCATCTTTAATCTCCAAAATTGCTTTTTTATCAGAGGACAGGGCTATTCATAATTTATGGATAAGCAATTAGATTTCGGAGAATGTGCACTATAAATAAAGTTAGTCATACAAAATCCTTCATCCCCTGGATCGCACTACATTCCCCTGTCGTCCTGTGCTGGCAGGGATGATTACATATACATTTAGATGTGAACGCGGAACAAATTAATACATGAAGCAATGAGATCGGTCTTATGCTACACGTTATTCCTCCATTGTTTGTCCGCCCTCTCTTCGCTGTACGACGGTCCCTTCTCTTTGCACCGAAATGTACCTTCCTCTGAAATAATATATCTCCAGACCTCGGTTCGTCATATTAAGTCTCGGCGTTCAAATGAAAAAAAAACAAGCAAATTACTTTGCAACACATTCAGTCCATATTTGCTGTTTCGTTTCCAACCACTTCACTTCCTGACTGTTAAAAGATGCAACTAGGGATCCGGAGATACCTCCCGGTATTGATGAGTTCTACGGCTCATAACATTATATGCTCCTTCGACCTCAAACAATATGTTGACTTGTACGGCGAATTCCTCTGTCCTCGCCATTTACTGTTAGTGTGACGCAATTAGTAGTGTCGGCAAGCAGAAGGTTCCCCGAAATCACAAGTCAAGCAGGACGGTGTTGGTGGACACAAGTTTACTGCCGGAAAATATACAGTACAAAGGCTGAGTTATGCGCCAGAACCAACTACGCGTGCACGCCGAGTCAGTACGCGAAACTGTGTTGGCTGCTGTATATCTTTGCCTGTGGAACGGTCTTAGTAGACCGGGCATCCAGCCAGGCGGACAGGCGCGCTTCAAATGGCTGGCACTCACGTGCGCCTTGAGTTGTGAGTAGATGGGGGAAGAATAGGGCCACTAAGAGATCGCGGCCTCTCGTAGCGGTTGACAGTGGGGGAGTTTGTCACGTTCGAGTAGATAGCTAGCGTGAAAAAATAAGGCAGTGTGAATCAGCACAGCGGCAGACTCCCACAACTGTGGTCGGTCAGCAAACAAGGGCCATTGTCTTATCTCCTTTCGCTTTTGTGGTCCTCACAGCCTTTTATATTCCCCCTTAGCTTGAACTTTAAACGGACTGTGATTGATCACGGTTCGTTCCTCCTGCCCCTTCACCACGATGGTTGCTTCCCTTGTCACCCTAAAATATTATAGTTACATCTGCAAGAAATAGTCTCGTTTTTTTCGTGTTCATACCTTGAAGAAGATCATTTCGTATCCCTACATAATACCCCTTGCGGGGCGTTCCTAATCCATGTACTTACTAACCATTCCACGAAAAACAGATTTTTTCTTTGAAAACTAATCAAATCGCATTCATTTGATCTTTTCCATTCGATTTTAAGGAGTTTTAGCGACCTCTTATTCTAAGCCATGCTTTGCTCACGTGCCCCGCGTTTCTGGCTCTCGTGTGCACCAGCTCGCGCGCCTCAGGTTGCCAAAACTTCCGTTCAAGGTCATCCTCTGTCTGACCTCACTGGCCTACCACAACGCAAGGCCAGGAGCTTACTGCGGGGGAGTTATTGACGCTCAGTCACTCCCAGAACCCAATGT